ATCTTGCAGCGTAATTCTGCAATAATTCAGTTATCTCAGGATTCGGGCTTTTAAATGAATTTTTTTCCGGCTGCATGCAAAAATTATGCCCTGTAGAAATGACTACTTGAGCAGCACGCATTCTTCTCATGGATTTTCGATGCCCTTAAAAAGCCAAAGATATATCACAGAAAACATTCCTAAAAATATTAATTCTTTTAGGGTAAGGCAATACCATACTAAGAGCACAGGTACTAGCCAAAAAGCCCATACACGCATATTTCGCCGATATTCTGCCGCTGCATGGCGCAGCCGCGAGGGCTTCGGCTCGTCAGTGGGTCCCACAGCATTCCCCGTGTGCTTTCTGGTACATACTCCAATTTAGAAATTGTCGTTTTTTAGTTCCCTCTGAAATTATCTATGAAGTTGGAGTAGATCAGTTTATTCAAGGTTATAGGCTCAGACCGAGAATATAACGCGGTCATCTCGCTGTGGCTGATGGATATCGGCCGAAATAGTCATGCATAAATGCTGGGGGACCCACTGACGAGCCGAAGCCCTCGCGGCTGCGCCATGCAGCGGCAGAATATCGGCTTTTAGCTAGTACCTGTGGTGTTAGTATGGTGTCGCCTTACCCTAAAAGAATTAATATTTTTAGGAATGTTTTCTGTGATATATCATTGGCTTTTTAAGGGCATCGAAAATCCATGAGAAGAATGCGTGCTGCTCAAGTAGTCACTTTTTACAGGACATAGTTTTTGCATGCAGCCGGAAAAAGAATTCATTTAAAAGCCCGCATCCTGAGATAACTGAATTATTACAGAATTTCGCTGCAAAATGATTAGTTTTACAGCCCTACTTAATTAATCTTTTTGAAATGAAAACGCATTTCGGAAATTCGGTGGACATGTCATGAGTTAGCCCACCTACCGTGATATGATCTCTAACCTGTTTCCTACTGAAACGTGCAACTCTCATAGAGTTTTGTTGATGAAAGCAGAATTCCTTCATCCATTTCTCAACTATGTGCAGAGGGAACATTGACTGGACATACAATAACATTTTTTTTAAATGTCGTCTTTGTCCACCTTGCTTTTTTTCTAGGCACTGTCTTATTGACAGTTGGCCAGAGAGTGACATGACTAGCATTGGAATTATTAGCGGATGACTCATGCGGCAGCAGCCTTTCCACTACTGATTTTCGAGTTCCTTCACAACTGACTACAGACAGAAATTGTTTTTAATTATTTATAATGCGTTATACCAGAGAAAAGTGGCGGCACATTTCTAGTACTCCTTATCTAGGTCGGTATATTTTAAGAGTAATAGGTAATGCCTTTGAAAACCCTATTCTGTTCATTTACGCCTTTTAACTCCCATAGAGGTGAAACAGCGCTGTCAAGCAAGTTTGTTACCGCGTTTTATGGCAAAATGCTATCGATTTCTCTAAGACTGACCCAACCCCTCGTTTCCTAAAACAATGCGATACCTCGCACCTGTACCAAACTGATTTTCCTGAACGTAAAATCCGGTTTCCGGTTTCACAATGCTCTTGGTGAAAACTTTTCTTGCGCATGCTAATGCTTTTTCGCAGGCGAAAGCGCGTAAATAAGCCACCGTAGCTGGCGATAGTCAACAGCGAAGGAAATAACACTGACATCAGGAAACGTCTGCTTTTGCAGACAGTTGTCCTGTTCCCATTTAATAAGACAGCTTTGAGAAGATTTCCCCTGCAAAAAAAGTCCTTCTGGGCCAATAATTAATATAATAAACAAAAACCACAGCATTTGAGGAGCATACGCGTGCTGTCGATAAATTCTCATCGGTCCAGTACATTTATATGGGAACAACGTGTGAGTTACAAGATAAACCGATTTTTGACAATCAAATATACAGACAAATAAACGGAGTTGAAATGGGATCGCTTCTTGGTGGTCTCCTAGCCGATGTCTTCATGGGCAAGCTGGAGAAGTTTCAGTTAAACGACCAAATCAATAAGCTAGGGCACTGCAGTCGCTACGTTGACGACATCTTTGCAATTGCCACCAGAGAAACCACCCTCTTGGATGCTGTAAATCAAGCACACTCGTCAATCAGGTTAACATGGGAGACGGGAATCGAAGTCTTTCTGCCTTTCCTAGATGTCCTTCCAAGCAAAGAGCTGACGGCAGCATTCGAAGAAGCGTGCACAGGAAAGACACCTGGTCTAAGCAATATACGAACTTTTACCATTTCGTAGCCCTTAAACAGAAATGTAATCTAGTTCGTAGCTTGTCGCAAAGGGTTAGAAAAATCTGTTCTACAGATAGCGTTAATGAAGAACTTAGAAGAATTCAGGACCTGCTTCGCGAGAACTGGTGTCTTGACATAAGTAGCGTAAGAAATCTTACCGAACGACCGGCAAAATGCATCCTACCGACGGCGGAAAAGAAAACTCGGTCGGATCTTATTTCGTAGCCGTACCTGGAGTAGACAACGCCCAGCCTAAATCCTAATCCTAACCATTAACCCCTAACCCCTAACAGTAACCGCTGACAGGTACGGCTACGAACCCGTTCGTTCAGGAAAGGGAAACAATCAAGCGGTTGCAAGTTTTTGTTTTGCAGCACAAAACGCAACATCAAATTCAAAAGATTAGTTCTCCATGCACCCCGAAAATGCAGAGGAGATACTTCCTTGTTAAAAGCGCTAATCCTAGAAGAATAACTTTAAGTAGAGATAGCTTCGTGTTGTGTAAATACTTCGTTGAATCTAGCAGCTGGCTCGTGTTTTGACTTCCAATTCTCCGTCCTGAGTGCAGTAGGCTCGATGATCAACAACACCTGTCCTTGAAGGCAGCAAAAAGATCAAAATACTCTTACTATGTGAGCAGTCGACCTTAGAGAAGTCGGTATACTGGTAAACCACTTTAGAAACGGCTTCCCAAGGGTTCTTCGATTGTGAAAACTTTCTGCCTTGGTAGAGGGACACTCACCGATCGCGCAACAGAAACCACGCGTCTCGTTGTGCCTTACGGGCTCTCTCTGGGGCCCCGCCGGCAGCCACACAGTGGCGCATGATATATAGGCAGAATAGCATTACTGATAAAGACAAGAGGGAGACTGGAATGGCCATTTCTGGCTTATTAGCCGTCGTCAACGAGCCATACCCAAGCCCGAAGTGTGGAACACCCGAGCCTCGAACTCGCGACCTGTTGGTTTAGAAGTCAACGCCTCTACTCACCGGGCCACGAGCCCGTTGAAAATAAGATGCCCGTTTTCTAGTAAACATATATATATATTGGCCGTCGCCAGCCTGCCAAATCTACGGCCAGCTTTTATTTGCAACTCTCTCCTTCCCTGCGGTGGGGTTTCTCCGGGCACCGGAAGCCTGCAAAAATTTAACGCAATCTAATGGTCTGCAGTTTTGGCCTGTCCTACTAAGCGGAATCGGGCTGCTAAACTCTCGAATTCGCGTTGTGCACCCTACTTTTAAACGGCAGGTCTCCCGACTGTATGACTAATTTGCATTCCTGGTCCCTGAGGCATTAGGCCGACCTCCTGTAGATTGAGATGTGGTCTGTTGTTGACTTCGCCGGACAAACCAGTAAGATGCAGCCGGACTCGCACACCTGGGAAGGGAGTCGACAGAGGTTTGCTCTAATGAATTATCCGGGAACCAGCTCGCGTAAAGCACGAGTAGACGGGCTGATGAGTTTTGTCAGGCACCGGTCTCAGCAGCATACCCAGTCGCCTTGGTCTTGTCTTTCTGCTGAAGCATTGCGTGTATGAGTGTGTGTGTGTGGGGTGTAGGGGTGTCCAGCGGTGGGTTCACGTGATGATCGTAGTGACCGCTCACTTGCTTGCAGGTGAGACTACGCCTAGCGTCCATTTGCTGGCACCCAACTCTCACCTGTGGCTCCACGTAGCTGGGCTCTGCTCAGCGGCCACACCCCGGACATCCGCCTCGACCGGCGGGCTAAACCAGGTGAGGGCGGTTACTCCCGGTGCGCGTTGTGCCACGTGCACAGGGTACTGCGGACTACGCTGGACGGTTGGTCGGATGGAACACCGTGTCGGCGCCGTCGTGAAGAGGTTTCGTCTACGCTGTTGGTCAGCTGGTTGGTGGAACATCGCATCGGCATAGTCGAGACGAGGCTCCGCGTGATGCGCCGTTGATCAGCCGGTGGGATGGATCTTCGAATCGGCATCGCTGACTCGCGCCCATCTGGTGCACCGTAGGAGACCGCAGGCTTACGGCAATGTCGTAAGCCATTGGCAAATTCGAGTCGTTCTTCCACTATCAAACAAAGTCGTGGTCCACAGTGGAGTTCGGCCGCGTCGGCACATCAAGCAGCCCTATTCAGGGACAGGGCACTGCTCCTCTTCGGAGGGGGCTTGAAAAGCTGGCCTAAAAATTGCTGGGGAACCACGTCGTCTGCAGGCGCACCGTGGTCGCAGACGCAAAACTCACGCTCGAAACAATCGAAATCGAAACAACAATAGCAATAATAATAATAATAACAACAACAACAACAACAACAACAACCATAGCTATTCTCTTCATCCTACCACTTCTTCCTCTTCCTCTGCCCATTCTTCTCCTTCGTCACCTTCTTCTCCACATCCTTCCCGCCGCCCCACTCGTCGCCAGACTGGCAGGGTGAGTCCGCTCACTCTGGCAGCCTGGAATGTTCGTTCACTTTTAGACAATCCGAGGAGTAACCGACCGGAACGGAGGACAGCGCTAGTGACACGAGAACTGGCGCGCTACAAGGTGGACATCGCCGAACTCAGCGAGATCCGATCCTCCGAACAAGGCCAACTGGAGGAGGTGGGTGCCGGCTACACCTTCTTCTGGGGCGGTCGCCCCAGGGCAGAGCAACGAGATGCGGGCGTCGCCTTCGCCATCCGGAACGACATCGTAGGACGGATGCCCTGTTTGCCGCAGGACATCGACGATCGCCTGATGAGCCTCCGTCTGCCTCTCTGGCGGGGGGGGGGGGCAAATTCGCCACCATCATCAGCGCCTAAGCTCCGACGATGACCAACCCGGACGCCGTCAGAGACAAATTCTACGAGGACCTGCGCGCCCTCTTGGCGACTGTGTCGAAGGCGGACAAGTTGATTGTCCTTGGTGACTTCAACGCCCGCGTCGGCACAGACCATGCTGCCTGGAGAGGAGTGCTGGGTCCCCATGGTCTCCGCGGCTCCCAGGACAATGGACTGCTGCTTCTCCGCACCTGCGCAGAACACCGCCTCATCCTGACGAACACGTTCTTCTGTCTGCCGGAGCGAGAGAAGGCCACCTGGAGGCATCCTCGGTCGCGCCAGTGGCACCTGCTGGACTATGTTCTCGTTCGGAGGCGTGACCAGCGGGACGTGCTGGTGACAAAGGCGATCGCGGGCGCTGACGGGTGGATCGAACATCGCCTCGTCATCTCGAAGATGTGTATTCGCCTACAGCCTCGCAGGAGACCACAAGGTAAGCGACCCCCAGGTAAGCTGAATATTGCCTTGTTATCTTTGCCCGCTCACCATCTTCATTTCAGCAATGAGCTAGCTCAACGGTTAGGCAACCTTCCAATCGCTGACGCCGCCGCTGCAGAGAGCGCCTCCGTGGAGAACCGACGGTGCCAACTGCGAGACACGGTCCAGTCGACGACGCCAGCCGTCCTCGGTCGCGCACGCCGGCAACACCAGGATTTGTTCGAAGACAACGACGCCGTCATCAGTAATCTGCTCGCCGAGAAGAATCGCACACACAAAGCCTACGTAGACCACCCCACCGACGACAACAGAGCTGCTTTCTACCGCAGTCGCCGCCAACTTCAGCAACGACTGCGCAAGATGCAGGACACCTGGACGGCCTGCAAAGCTGAGGAGATCCAAGGGTAAGCGGACCGTAACGAGTGGAATAATTTCTTCTCCGCGATCAAAGCCGTCTATGGTCCACCGACGAATGTCAGGGGATGCGGACCCACCTGTACTCTACCTTCGTGGACCTGACGAAGGCCTTCGACACGGTGAATCGGGAAGGACTGTGGAAGATCATGCAGAAATTCGGCTGTCCGGAGCGATTCACTCAGATGGTGCGTCACCTGCACGACGGCATGATGGCGCGAGTCACGGACAACGGAGCTGTCTCAGAGGCATTCGCAGTGATCAATGGAGTGAAGCAGGGCTGCGTACTGGCGCCTACCCTCTTCAGTCTCATGTTCTCTGCCGTGCTGATGGACGCATACCGCGATTGACGCCCAGGGGTCCGCATCGCCTACAGGACGGACGGTCACCTGCTGAATCAACGACGGATGCACTTCCAATCGCGCGTATCCACCACCACCGTTCACGAACTCCTATTCGCCGACGACTGCGCCCTGAACACCACCTCGGAAGAGGAAATGCAATGCAGCATAGACCTGTTCTCCGCCGCCTGCGAGAACTTCGGTCTGGTCATCAACACGCAGAAGACGGTGGTCATGCATCAACCGCCATCCAACACCGCCCACCCCCAACGCGCCGCCACAAATCGGCGTGAATGGGAACCAACTGCAAGTGGTGGAGAACTTCCCGTACGTCGGCAGTACCCCCTCCCGCAACACCAACATCGATGACGAAGTTGCCAACAGGATCTCGAAATCCAGTCAAGCCTTCGGTCGTCTCCAAAGCACAGTTTGGAATCGTCACGGTCTCCAACTGAGCACGAAGCTAAAGATGTACAAGGCCGTCATCCTGCCGACGCTACTTTACGGAGCGGAGACTTGGACGGTGTACACAAGGCGGGCACGCCGACTGAACCACTTCCACCTCAGTTGTCTCCGTCGCATTCTGAGGCTAAACTGGCAGGACCGCATCCCCGACACTGATGTGCTGGAATGGACGGAAATTCTCAGCATCTACACCACGCTGAGACAAGTGCAGCTGCGTGGAGCGGCCATCTGGTGCGCATGGACGACGAGCGACTACCCAAACGACTCTTCTGCGGAGACGTCGCGACGGGTTCTCGCCGCCAAGGTGGTCAAAGTCGCCGTTACATGGACACTCTGAAGTCCTCCCTGAAGCGTCTGCACATTAACCCGACCAACTGGGAAGACCTCGCCCACGACCGACCGACCTGGAGGAGGACAGTGAGGACAGGCGCCGCGATCTACGAAGCCAACCGCATCGCCGCCGCCAAAGTGAAACGCGAAGCTTGCAAATCACAACTTCACCCAGTACGCAACGCCGACGCACAACTACTTCCAACGTGTCCGGGCACGAATTGGACTTATTAGACACCTTCGCATCAACTGCGCCTCTCAGACCGCACCAACCGTCGCCCACCAGCAAGCCTGTTCCTCGTTGCGATCGGGACGAGTGAGTTCCATAGAAACTATCTGTGAGCGCTCCTCTACCATTGTATATTTCCGATCGCAATCGACAGCAAAACGAGCCCTTGGGCCAGTGGTTAGATGCGTTGGACTTCTAACTAACGGATCACGAGTTCGAGTCTCGGGTGTTCCACACTTCGGGGTTGGGTATGACTGGCTGACGACGGCCAGTAGACCAGAAATGGCCATTCCAGTCTCCCAGTCGGTAATACCACTCTGCCTGTATCATGCGCCGCTGTGCGGCTGCTGGTTGGGGTCGAGGGAGAGCCCATAAGGCACAACGGAACGAGTGAGTTCCGTAGAAACGATCGGTGAGCGCCCCTATACCATCAAATATATATATTTACTCAGGAATGCGCGCTCACCGATCCACTGGCTTCCCGAAACAAACAAGCTTCGTATGGGCGATAGGGGTCACTAACAGGAAACCACTTACCAGGCCGAAGTCGGTCAAGCTAGGATAGCAGAGATGAGACGACAGAGTCTGGGGGTAGATTGATACAGCACTGTTTCCTGAGTGAATAAATACCCGATCTGAAGTGACAGAGACTGGCAGGTGGCGAGGCACTGATGAACTTCGGTTCGATGAAGTGCTTTTGACCCATCTGGTAGACCCCAGTGGTGGACCAGCTGCGCCAGGTGTGTCTGTGCGCATGATTGTGCTTCCGGTCCCAGCTGGTGGTCAGGGTTATGATTGGCTCAATGAAAGCAAACAAGCCCGAAACGGTGCTGTATCAATCTAACCCCCACACTCGGTCGTCTTTCCTCTGCTACATGTGTATATAAATTAGAAAGCAAAGTCTTTTGGGAAACGCAACAAAATTTATTCTGTAAATTTTCGACAATGGTTCCCCAGGTGGAATATATGCAAGTGTCAACATTTTTATAAGGGACAAAATATCGATACCGTCCTTGAATTCCTTCCAGTAACTCATGGCGTTGGTTGACAGCTCGCGTTAATTGGCTGTGACCTCTTCCATCTTTCCATGTGGAACATGAGACCTCTTTCTAGGGACTTATAGTTTTATGCCAATTTACTGCTGGATAAATACAGTATGGCATTTGGAGTCATAGGGCCTGGTCGAAAACCTGTTAAGTAAATTCCCACCGCTTAAATGGTGACTTTTTACCAAGGCTACTTTTCTCAGTTTGTTGCGAAGATGCCTTTCCAACATCCAACATGTAGAAATTTTATTGGAGCCAACTTCCTTGTTGACCAGATTTGCAACCTCACTTGAGTATTATTTTCTGTTTGGAAGTGTTTTGAAATCTTTAGGTTCACGACTCATGAGTCTGGCCATTTATTGGGCTTATTCCCCCCTAGATGTGGGCTTGTCTGTGAGTTACCTTGTCGGTGAAAATGTCATAGTCGGTTGCTGGTCACCTCGGCTCGCGGTTAAGCAACTAGCCAGTGAAAATGCTGTGTCATCGCGCCGCCACCGGGCGTGTCGACCAATCAAAAGGCTTTGCGCAAATGACGCCCCCTCTGATTGGCTGGGCCTCGCGAGTCTCTTGTTCCTGTCACCCTGGCGGAAGTCTGTCAACTCGCGCTTGCAAACAAACCGACGAGCATGATGCACAAGTACGAACTTCTGCCAGACACCACAAGGAATCATCTTCCACAATTTTTAAAACAAAACTGCTTCGGTCTCGGATCACCAACTTCGCCACTGGAGCTCAATACCCTTCTGCCCACACCCCCCAACGACCTAACAAAACAGGGCTTCCGAAGATATAGCGGTCAGCATTCAATCCAAAGCGATACCAGTAGCGGTAGTAGTAGCAGCAGCAGCAGCAGGAACATGCTTCCACAAACGCAGCAGGAGTCGCCTAAAGACAGTGAATCACCCAAACTTAACGGGCAATTCTGCGCGCCGAATCCCTTCCTGCCGCCAGACATCTGCTCCACACTGGATGCAACCTCGGTCGCTAACAGACCCTTCATCTCCACCTTCCCCAACCTCCCCATGGACAGTCCACTCTTCCAGTTCGGAGCTTCTTCTCCTTCCGCCATGATGGCCCGCTTTGTCCTGTCAGCCTACATGTCAGCGGCGGGAGCAAACTCCGCTGTCGGTAGAGGACTGGCCGTCCCTCAATCAACCCCCTTCAAGTCACTCCTTCTTCAGTGCACGGAGCCCTCAACGCAGGCCAACTGGTTCTCCTCGGCCGGTGACTTCAGTCACACGCCCTCCACAACATCAGTCTTCACTACAGCCGCCACGACCGTTGGTCTTCAGTCGTCAAGCAACGCTACCGGCCGACTCGCAAGTGATGGGGGCCTCGCAGTTCCAGAAAATCCGGAAGACTGCATCGACCACAGAATGCCAACAAGTGCGTTTTGATTCCTTTTTGCTCATCTGTGCGCTTTGAGGCTCTCAATATATTCTCCTGCCTCCTATAAAATAATTTAAGATGAGCGGCCTAGAAATTGGCTGAGCAAGTTACATAGGTTCCGCTGGAGACGGGATCGAAGGACTAACCTTCGCAAGCAGCATTAATAAACGAAGAGATACGGTGTTGTTTAAATGGAAAGTCCACAGACGTAAAAATCTCATAACTACAAATTTTTTGAAACCAAAATACGAATTCACAGAGATTTCAGGAATCACTGGCAAACCCTGCTACTTAATTAGTCATTCTTACTGAGTGTGAGTCTTTTCCTGCAGTCGAAATCCCTGTGTGACGGAAGTATCTTGGTAGTATGCTGCACGACTATAAGTATTACAACCATAGCTAAATAATCCTTCTTCATCAGAAACAAATTTCAGAATCTCGGCTAACACATCACGAGATACGTCACCCACTACACTTTCGAGCTTCGAAATGTTCACTCGCAGCCAGAACAGGCTATGTGTACGTGAGGCCTGGTGGATTTCCAGAAGAAAATGATTTAAATTCCTATCCGATACTTCTGGCGGCCGATGAAGAGGTTTTGGATGTTCTGTCTTGGAGGGCGGAATACTGCCGCCTGTACTCGCATTTCGTTTTCCAAGGCGGAAAAAACTAGTCGGAAATCGCGGAGTTCCCTGAACTTGAGGGCGTCTGCAAAGGGCGTGAGAATAAAATTTACAGACATCGAGATCAGGATTCGGCGCGACTTCGCCCACATTGCAGCCTGGCATTGGAAGTCTGATTGAACTGACTTACAGATCACCCCCTCTCTGTCTCCTTCACGCTGAGCCAAATAAGGGACCAACATTAGCCAGTGGCAGGCGTTGGTGGAGTTGTGATAGGTCAACATGAGGCCTTAACTGTTGTCGAGTCTTCCAAGCTATGCCCAGGCATGACGACCAGCCTTATTACCTCAACACTGACAAATAGAAAGGATCTTGTGTGTTTGGACATGCAGGTGCTACCTTTTTAACAGATCAGGGCTGGGAGAGGGGAAATATGACTCAACAAAGAGCCAGGTCGGCAGTCCAATTGCAGAAGGCCGGTCTGAACGCTGATACCAATACAGTACTATTTTACGCCTACTTAGGGGGTGACGAACCGGGAGAGACCAGGCGGTAGATACAACCGAGACATCAGAGGCTGGCAGTTAATCTGTGTGAATTTCAAGTGATACACCATCGTGGGAATGACGCCTCCTAGAACCGCCCCTACTAGAGTTGGTTTTGAGGATTATTTCAGGGTGTGATGGTGGATATTAGCCAGTTTTAGTTTTATTTTTATTACTAATTTGGTCGTATACGATCACGTGTTCATTACTATTGGCCGGACAACAGGACCCAGAAGGCGGGAGGTTTTGAAGATATGAATATTCAAGATTACATATAGATTATATATGTTGGAGGCACGTTCACCGCCCGGTTAAGGGAACATGCGCGCCCCGTTGTGTTTCGGAAGTCGCTATTGAGCCCAAAGACAGTCGCTTAGCGACAGGGGAGACTGGAGGATCGGCGATATCCAAACCCTGGTTTTGCTTACTCTGGGCCTAGATCCCACGTCCTTCGGACGCCGAGGCTTATTAAGTCCGAATTTCCATCAGTTGAGTCGCAGATTCTTTGTCCTGTCGGCTGCGATCATGAATATTGGAAGTGCGTTCTCCGGTTGGACGTTCAGTAACTAGGTAACGGGACATGCTGGTTCCGTCGTGCTCTGGGACTGCACCTCAAACCTCGCAGGCAGTCGCACCTCGACTAGAAGTATATACATATATATATAATGTTAGGGGGCGCTCACCGATCGTTCATACGGAACTCACTCGTTCCGTTGTGCCTTATGGACTCTCTCTCGAGCCCAACCAGCAGCCGCACAGCGGCGCATGATATATAGGCAGAAGGATATTACCGACAAAGACAAGGGAGACTGGAATGGCCATTTCTGGCTTATTAGCCGTCGTCAGCCAGCCATACCCAAGCCATTCCAGTCTCCCTTGTCTTTGTCGGTAATATCCTTCTGCCTATATATATATATATATATATATATATGTTGGAAAGGTAATACCGACAAAGACAAGGGAGACCGGAATGGCCATTTCTGGCTTATTAGCCGTCATCAGCCAGTCATACCCAACCCCAAGTGTGGATCACTTGAGATTCGAACCCGGGATCTTTGGTCATGGAGTATGACTGGCTGATGACGGCTAATAAGCCAGAAATGGCCATTCCGGTCTCCCTTGTCTTTGTCGGTATTACCTTTCCAACATATATCACTAGTCGCTGTGCGACTGCCTGCGAGGGTTTAAGTATGAGCCCCAAGGCACAACGGAACGAGCATGTTCCGTAACCTGATCGGTGAGCGCCCACTAGCATATATATATATATATATAGTGTATTTACATATAGTTAATATTCCTGATAGCAATTGACGGGATAAAATGACCGTGGTTTAAGTGGTAGAGTGTCAAACTTAGAAAATTTGGTCATCTAAGAACGCGAGATCGAGGCTCAGATGATGAA